AGTTATTAATTTTATTTATAAAAAACTTCTCATGTCCAGCAGAGAAACAACTACTTTGTAAGAAATAGCTGGATGAAGTGTCCTGTCAAGCTTTGCAAATGACCAAAACAAAAGTTGAGAAGGAACTTGCAGTTTTGACCACATTTTTAGAAAATGCAGAAAAGGAAGCTGACAATTCCTGTGAGAAACTTCTTGCAGCTGAAAATCAGGTACTAAGACACCCAAATTATGATTCAAGAGAAAACCAGACTTTTTTAAAATTTCAAAGTATATTTTCAGGCCTCCAAGAACAAGAAATTAAAAGTCATTGCCTTGGAAAATGAGTTCAAGACAATTTTCACAAGCATGAAGCCCCTCAAGAAAAAGCGCTCAATTTTGCACATGAAGGTAAGTTTGACAAAAGCCATGCACTAGTATCATGAGGTCTATTTCAAGGATAGGGCTGACATCTGTTGCATTTTATTTTCAGATGAGAACAATATCAAAAAACATTCATGAAGCAGTTTCAGTTCTCTTGGGCCCTATGAAATATGCAGTCACAGTTTTGGAAGAAAAATCAGGCCCATGGCATCCACTTGCTGGCATTGCTTCAAGCTTGACACTCAACCTGATTGCCAACATTGGTCCAAGATTTTTCCCTCACAAGCTGGACTGCCCTGATTTGACAAAATGGTAAAAATTTCTTATTCAAATTCTGCAAAGCAGTATTCCTCAACCTTTTTTGGCCCATGGACCAATACATTTCCAAAAGGTGCTTTTCTTGCTGGAAAATAAAAAAAAAGAATGTTGACTTGCAAAGTTTCACAAAATTGTTGCTGGCTCAGAAATCTTTTTTTTTTTAAAGACTTCATGGCATGTACTTCATGTTTCTGATTTTTTCAAAAATTAAGCTAAGAACTAATGAAGCAGCTTCAGTGGAATGTCTTCAAAAATTTGCAAGGTGGGCCTGATGAAAGGCTCTTCAGGATGATAAATTGAAATAATTTATTTTAGCATGTGAACATTTTCTGGAATGTTTCTAGGAGAAAATAAAGTTTTGTTTTTCATCAGATAATTTCAACTGACATTGTCTTTCAAAAATTTCAGATAAAGATACAATATTGTACTTCATTATGCTAATTTTGATGAATTTATTATACCAAAGATAATTTGTTCAAGACTGACAAGAAACTTCTGCTGACTGGTGCTGGGTCCATGGACCACAAGCTGGAGAATGCTGATTTAAAGAATATTTGTGAAAATTTCACTTTTACTTGTAATTGCATTTTTTTTACAGTATGGCACTCTGTATCAACAGAGCTCTGCAAAGAGGCACTTGGTTGCCATTTTCATTGTCAGAATATCTTACTGTCAAGGGCCAAAGGTTCCAAGCTACGAAGACTTCATTTGAGGATGCAGATGGTCCAAGTCCTCCCAAGTTGCCCACAAGCAGACTTTGTGACTGGATTGCTGCCAAAAAGTCTTTTGCACTTTATTGGGAATCTAGTCTCAGCAGGGCAGTAAGTTCTTGAAAATCATCTATCTTCCTTCATTATGTATCACCCTAAGTTGAAAAACAAAAAATTCCAGATGCTGGCAGGAAACTTGATGGTATAGAGAAATGAATAAGTTTCAGCTTTTCCAATAAGGATTTTTAAAATGACAAGATAAATGAACTTGTTTCAAGTGTAATTGTCACTCACTTCACATTGCAAAATTGTGCCTTCGTATACTTTAAATTAGAAATAAGAATAACTCTGTAAA